CTCTTCGGGCTCTTGTACACCTTTTTCTTGCTACGTGTGCGTGTTCTTTAGATCCTCAGATGGCTCCAGCACTTTCGTGACCACGGGCCGAGAGTCTTTGCTAGATTTTGGCATTTAGCAACTGGCATACGGTTTAATGTGAAGTCAACAACAACAACAACAGGGGGGGGCGGGATAGAACGACACAAGATAATTTTCGGTGGCCAAGAACTCATGTTCATATGATAGCCACCACCACACTCACTCTCACCCCCCTGCAGTCCACAGAACGTTCTTGTGGCGCGCAACCTAATAGATTGAGGAGGGACAATCTGAGGCAATCTCACCAACGGTCTGCACATTGAAGTCACACCTGCCTTTCTCAGAACTGCGCAAATCAGTGCTGCTGCAGATACAAGGCGCGCACCAATCGGGAAGTCGCAAACCGCCAGGTAGGCCGGTCGGGAAATTTTCGCTGGTTCTTTCCTACTGCGTAGAACAGGCAGATCATGCGGAGAACGGCATGTATGACGTATTACATACTTGTATATATTGGTGTGCTGATGTGATGCCGTCCAGACCACATACGTGGTGGTGAAGCCGCGCATTTTTGGCTCTCAAAATAAATGCATCACAACAACAGCACTTCGCGCTGGCGATAGACAAATGACGCACATTTCGTATAAGCGCCGGCCCTACTCCTTTAAACCTCCTCAGCAGGGAGGGGCCATCACAAAGGATCCCCTTCAGGGAAACATCCCTCCGCCCTTTGAAACCCTCGGTAATCTGGAGTCCAAACAGCAACTCCTCTCTGGTAGTAAACATCCCGCCGCCTGACCACGCACCGTGCGTACTGCATTATTCTTGTTTTCTCCTTCCGCCCTCGTCCCTCTTGCACAGACTTGAATCAATCCCTGGTCATCGTCTGATTTCCCGCCGGCTCACGAGCATGGCGAGAACATCAGGAACGACTCCTCCTGGCTTCGACACTTGTGATCCGCGCCAATGGGTGATTCGCCATCAACGGCTTGTTGCGCAGATATTCCCACGATCCGTGACGGATAAGTCGATGAACAGCACTCCAATCGGAGAAGCAGGCGAGATAATTCACTGTGCCGCCTCGCAGGGCCTCACTTTCGCCGTCCAAGCCTTGCTTGCAGAACGGCGTACCGCCTGTGACGCAAAAGATCGCTTCGGCAAAACTCCTCTTCACTGGGCTGCCGGACAAGGACACGTCGACACTGTCTTGGCGCTCGTGGATGCCGGAGCCTTGGTCGACTCTCGCGACCACTTCAAGGCCACACCACTCATGCTCGCGGCCTTGGGGGGGCACGAGCACGTCATTCACTGTCTGCTGTATGCCGGGGCTGGTGCTCCCAACCGTTACAACTGCCAAGGGCGTTGTCACGCCGAATTGAGGAGTACCGCCCTTCACTATGCCGCTGAGGGTGGTCACGTTGGAGTTATCGTAGCCCTGCTGAGCGCTGGCTTCTGCAACGGTCAGCCCGACGAGACCGGTGTAACCGCAGCCGAGATATCCGCCAGAGTGGGGCACGAGTCCTCACGGGAAGCCACCCGTCGGCTCCTAGGCGGTGACAGAGGGGGCAAGCTGGTCTACGACTACGTCAACATGGTCAGCCAGGACGTGGCTACCGTGTGCGGTCTGGCCCAAGGCGGGGCGTTTCTGGATTGGCAGGACAACCACAGGAGACGCTCTCCGTTGCACCGGGCGGTGTACTTTGGGCACTTTCAGATTCTCAAGATTCTACTCGCTGCTGGCGCCAACCCAAACGTCGCCGACAACCATGCCGTTACCCCGTTGCATATATATGGTTGCCGTCAAGGGATGCGAGGCTGAGGCTGCCGAACTGCTCTGTGCCGGAGCAGATACGCACGCACGCACGGATGACAGCTATACGCCGCTACATCTGGCCGTCGTCTACAACAGGATTGGTGTCACGAGGCTACTCCTAGACGCTTCGGCATCCTCCCTCGAAGTCCGCGATAGTTTCCACGGTATCACGCCGCTCGCATGGGCGTCCAAGTTCTCCTTCGCTACCATGCTGCGCATTTTGCTGAGTATGGGAGCCGACGTCAACTCTAGGTCTCCAGCGGGCTTGACCCCCCTCCATTGGGCGTGCCGCTTCAACAATGCTGACATCGTCGAGTGCTTGCTGTTGGCGGGAGCCGACCCCGACTCTTTGGATAACGAGGGTGCTGATGCCGGCTCTGCGATTGGTCTTGGTGACCCCCCCCGCCACAAGGGACCCCAGAGCCCTCCCATTCTTCCAGGAGCGGTGAATCGAACCGGCTGGCTAAAGAATGAAACGTTGGCGACCCGCATTCAGCTGGCTCTGTCGAATGCGAGGAAGGATCGCACTTGGCGTCGTAGGGGCTGGTTGGTCGTGCTGGCTAGGAGGCAAGCGATGGCGATGGCGGTGGTACCCGGCACTACTTCCAGAGCTTCCAAGACTTCCGTGAGTGGCAACAAGAGCGATTCTAAGATGACCATACCAAGGATTCTGGCGACGACAGGTGTGGACGCAGACACAGGCCGCCGTGTGCATCTTGCCAGCCACCAGGAAGGGACTCGGCAGGGAATTGTAAGGTCATCGAGCGATCTCCCTCACAGCAACGACGTCCCCGGTGGGTGGTCACACGGAAACTTAGGCAACAGTGTGCCCCTTCAATCTAAGGGGAGCCACAACACCGCTATTTTCACGTCACAAATATCTGAATCATCATCGATGCAGCTCGGGTGGGCTGGTGGAGGTAGCGCCGGCCACATCGACAAAGTCACTGGCTGGACACCGGGGCAGGGAGTAGTACAGGCTCTGCTTGGGCTGGCAGCCGTGGAAGTTGGTGTGTTTCGTGGTGTGATGCGCTACATATATATGAATGACATGTTGCTTACCGCAGATAGCGACGGTCCGCGCTGGCCACGCCGAGGTCTACTGTAGAGGTCCGTGTTTCGATACTTGATACCCAGGGGGCGTTTTCAGGAGGATCTTCTGTCCGATTTCAACAGTCGTCAACTATGGCTCCTGTTAGACTGGGAAACTGCTAGCTGTCGGTACTTTCGGGAACCCAGAAGAGACACGCTTGAGAACGTAAAACTTTTGGCACCTGTTAGACCTTAAGAGCCGTATCGTTGGTGGATACTACCCAGGGCGAAGGGAAGAAGGGGGTGGATGAAAAGTGAAAGTGATACCGAATCATGAAAGAACCGATCTCATGCGAAGTATTTTGTGGTGCTCTTACGAAAAAAAATTGACCCAACCGGGGCAATACATCCCCGCTCCAAAAGTGGGGTCACCCAAACCGCTTCAACGGTTTGAAGAATATTTCGCCGCTTGGCGGCAGGCCCCACGAAGGGTCGGAAAGTAAACTTGTTGGAAACTGCCAGACTTCGCTCAGACCGCAAATGCTCGGTTCACAGCAAGAAGGCAAATTCTCAAAAAATGTATATCTTCGCTTCCTCAATGCAGACAGTCGTTCTGAAACGCAACAAGACCAAACACCCAACCGTACATGATAATGCGCAAAAATGTAGGCAACGCAACGGGACGAGCTCAGAAAGCGGAATGAGCTGGCCACAACCTCCAGAGCATTCCTCGCGGGAGTCCTTGTGGGACCCCAACACAACGATAACACACCACGACAACAGATACAGATGAGTTGCATGGTTCAAGATTCAAAAATTCCCCACTTCCTCCCCCTGGATGTCTTGTCTGTGTTGCGGACGTACATTGTGGATGAGCGACGTACGATGCACGATTGCCTGCACGCAGCTATCTCAAAAACGTGATCGGTTCACGAAGCACACCCGAACACTTTGATACGTGCCGAATTGCGCCTGGACACCTGGGCGCCGCAACTAACTGGCGTCATCAATAACATCCCTTCAAAACAGACCTGAAATATTTCACAACGATGCAAACGGCGGAGCCCATAGTAGTCGATGCTGCCGTCGCCTCATTTCCGGACGTCGATCCGGTAGCCTACTCTGGTGTCTGCTGCATCCAAGCATTGTGTACGCCAGCGACAGTGGGACAGCGACTGAAAGCCGAACACATCACGCAAAATATGAGAAATTATACTATGTTGTCTGCTGGACCATGACAAAAAAAACTTACAGTTCTGATATTAGAACAATGCCAGTGCCTTCTCCAAGATGGCAAACGGCGCTACCAAAGCCAAGGCAATGGTGGACACCCCTCCACGCCTGTTCCGGACCCCTCCCCCNGGCCCCCCCCCCCCCCCCCCTCTTCCCTCCATAGCCCTGACCACAGCACAAACCCACCCAGCAAAATTTGAAGCACGCCGATCACAGCGAGTGTTGCCGTACTCATTCCTCAGCAGCAACGTCTGAAAACTCGGAATACTTCCCACAGGTACATCATATGCATTCATACCAGCACAACCCCAACAGACAAAGAAGCAAATTCGGAACCACGGACCGGATCGACTGCCATGCCCCCCCCCCCCCCCCCCCCCCCCCCCCCCCCCCCCCCCCCCCCCCC